CCTGGAGAAGAGAAGACTGAGGGGGGATCTGATCAATGTCTACAAGTATCTGAAGGGAGGGTGTCAAGAGGCTGGGGCCAGACTCTTCTCCGTGGTGCCCAGGGACAGGACGAGAGGCAACGGGCATGAACTGAAACACAGGAAGGTCCCTCTGAACATGAGGAGAAACTTCTTTCCTGTGAGGGTGACTGAGCACTGGCACAGGTTGCCCAGAGAGGTAGTGGAGTCTCCCTCCCTGGAGATATTCAAAACCCGCCTGGATGTGATCCTGGGCAATGTGCTCTAGAGGACCCTGCTTGAGCAGGGGGGTTGGACTAGATGATCTCCAGAGGTCCCTTCCAACCTCAACCATTCTGTGATTCTGTGAATAGCTTGACTTGTTGTGTGTGGTGAGAGTAGTTGCAACGTGAGAGCTTTCTTCATTGACAGTTACATACAATGGTATTTAATTTTGAATTAAGGGACTGACATTCTGAACCATGGAATCATGTTTCTGAACTTCTAAAATAGTCTTATATTTCTTTTACAGATAAAGTAAATGTTAATTTATTTCACGTAGTTTTTACAAGTATATTTTAAATATTTGTGATGATGAAATTCTCTTCCAACCTCAAGAATTGTGTGATTCTGTGAATTTATACAGCTGGTCTAACACTCTCTCAGCTTTGTCTTATATAAACCTACCCTGAAAGCTGCAAAAAAAGAGTTTATTTTGGTTATAAATTAAAATTTCTCCAAAATTACCGAGCACGCTTTCAAATTTACTCATTAAGTGACTGTTTTTCTCATAAATTCCATCTTTACTGGTAAAGCAAAAAAAAATATCTAGCTTGTTTGATAGTTATCATTGCCACATATGTGGACTGACCTAATCTGAATGAAAATGTTGGTAGAAACAGAACCTAGATGGGGCAGAAGTTCTGGCATTTTGCATTTTTTTTGGATTAAAACTGTAGATTTGTCTTAATGAGTATCACCCAGGTAGGCTGCTTGGATTTTCTTTCTTGACCAGTTCCGAGCATTTCATAACTGCTTTGGAAAAAATTCTGTGTGGTATGTTTTGTATCATTATTTTGAGACAATTTATATTACAGATTTCAGTAGCTGTATACTGTATATTTATATAATTTAAGTAGATATAAATAGTACTGGCTATTATATGAAAATATTTGTTTAGTTCTCTGAATAAATATGGAATGACAGTATTACTTCTGATGGGAATTTACATACTGATATACTAATTAATTGTGAGAGTAGGTAGATTGAGGCAGACCTCAGCAACAGAGAGGCACTTTTATATAGTGTATCTTTGCAATTTACAGTCTCACAGTTTGCCCAGAAGTCATCCGTTCCTGAGTAGTTGACATGCAAAGCAAGTCATCTTCTTGTGTTTTTGCATGTAACTTTAAAACTTTTTTTAACCTCAAATGATATTAAAGTAATCACTTGAATACTTCTTCATTGTTTATTTCCTATGAGAGTTCTTACAAAATGTTTTTTGTGATGCATTTTTCAAAAAATAAGGTGCTTCTGAGGTTGAAGGCATCTTTGGTGCAATCCAGCTGATAATTATTCAGATTTCTGCTTTCTTTTCTTCAGTTTGCATACTAAAATATACAACACAATCTGTGTAGCAAAATGTCAAGAAATGAAGTAGATCCAGTTAGTTTCTCAGTGTCAAGCAGTCTTCACCAGCCACCAAACTGCTTTATCAACCCTAATTTTGCTCCTGAAAATTATGCTAAGGTTGGGAGAAAAGCGGATGGGGAAGGTATGTTGTAAGATAAATCCCATGAGGAGGAAATGGATTTTTTTTTAACATTCTTAAAATCTTTTTTTGTTTGGAGCCTTTGTCTTTTTATTCTGTCAGTTTCGGTGAATGGTAGACACGCTGGGCTAGTAATTAGGAGCTAGCTTTAGCATTATATCTCCTTTTTATTTATTTTACTTTTAATCTTGTTTAATAGACTATTTGGAGTGCAGGCCTTGTGCTCTACAGATCTAAGCTCCCGGTAACTCTAAACACAGTTGAGCTCATCTTTACTACTTTGCAGTTATGTTAAATGAATCATAACCTAAAACTTGTATTTCTTTTTGTTGCCACTCACAAAATACATTTGACTGCAGTAACTTTTCATAGTCCTAAAAGCTGATAAATTTTCAAACTCTTTTCAGTGACTGTATAGCATTTGGTGCTGGCATACTGTGGATCGAGGAGTGTCAAGATTTGATGGTCAAGCAATAGCTTTCACAGCTGTTTTTGTTAGGACATATCTAGAGGCCAATGTGGAAGAAAAAGGAGGCTCAACTGTATGTAAAGAGAATAAACAATGATCAGAGTTTTACAGAGGTTAGATAACTTTTGATCTGTTAAGGAATTTTATTACTAGCATTTTTGATGGGATTTATCTGGAACATATGGATATCTCAAGAGTTTGCTTTCTGTTGTACTGCTGTGAATAGTTTGCATTAGAAAGAGCTATTTTTTTGGATATGTAAGTGCTTTTTTCTGGTTATAATGTTTACAAAGTCACACTTTGTACCAAAAGGACTCTTAGTTTCACTGTTGGGATGGAGATCAGTCTTGCATTTGCTGTGTTACTGTGCTTTGTTCAGACATTTTTCTGAACTCTGTGATTTACAAGGCTTGACCAACACAGGACAGTTTTTGTCTTGTTCTCATTAGTAGCCAGGGATAGTATGGTCTGCACCATGGTGAAGCAGGTGGCCTGTAAAAATGATCTGTGCTAGTTACTTCACACTTTGCCCAGTATTGGAAGCCTAGTACACGTAAGGGAATTATAAACAAAACTGTCTGGACCTGACTCTCTACTCAGTTTATTCTGAGTTTGTAATGAAAATCTATTCAGAAACTCTAATAGTTTTTTCTGTAATAATAATGATTAAAATTTGTTATCCATCTACAGTGTGCTCTGCAGTCAATACTTGAGTAAACATTAAGGGAACATGAAGCACAGGCTTGGCTTTGTTGCAGGTGTTGAATCTCTAATGTGTTTGCTTCTTTAGAAATCTCACAAGGTCGAGGGTGGTGGGGTTTTTTTTGGGGGGGTGGTTTTTTTAATGAAAAGATCTTTAAAAGCTTTTTTC